TTTTGTGAAAATTTAGAACTAAATTTAGTGACGGAAATTTTGGTTACTAAAACTAGTTTTTCCTTACAAAATCCGTCTCTAAATTTGTTCTAAATTAGTGGCTAATTTGTTTTCCTTGAAATTAAGTGCAGCCACTAATTTCATTTGAGAGTAAATTTACATTTCATTTGGAGTGTGAATTTACATTTCATTTGAAACAAATTTGAATTTCATTTTGACTTGTAATTTTTGCTTTCTAAATTTTTGTACAAGGCCTTTATTAAGGAGTGTCTTGGAGTGCCTTTGGTGTATCTCCATCTCTCCTTAAGAACTCTTATAGCTAATCACGTGTAGTACTTGTGAGAGTGGTCCTTGAAGGTCTTTGATACCTTTCAAGCTCTCACTTAGGTTTATTTGCTTTCAACGTCTAGTTTATGTTTTCTTGTCTTTAAGTTTTCAAGCCATTTATGTTTTAAGCAATTTATGTTTTCAGTCATTTAAGTTTTCAAGCAATTTATGTTTTCATGCTCTTTATGTTTTCAAGCAACTTATAAACTGTACACATAGGCACTTGTTTGTTGTTTTTCTTTAGAAAAGTTACGGCCCGTTCCACTTTTGGAACGGCCCGTTCCGGAACCCAGAATACCCCTATAACTTTATAAAAATTACAAAAATATCCTCAGTAATTACAAAAATGCCATTACTAATAAAAATATCCTTTTAAAGAAATTGGGGTGTTACAACATACATGTAGAGTTAGGAGTATGTATTGCACAAGTCTTGCATTATGATTGTGTTATATTGTGTGTGGATGATAAAAAATAATCGATGGAGGTATATTGATGGTCATTATTGATATAAGTGAGAATGTTTGAGAGTATATGAGATGTTATTGAGGTATAAATGTGTGTGTATCTACCTTTATGTCTAGTATATGTTGTTTATGGATGAGATGTATTTTCACTCCATGTGTTTGTATGTTTGTATTTGGGTTGAACCTAATTTGTAGGATTAGAGTAGGTACATAATGATATATTTAATAAGGGAGAGATATATATAAAAAGGGGTTATGCTCTGATAGTGTGACATCATGACAGAATTTTAATTTTAGTAGTTGTTGGACTATAGAGTTTCTCTTTAATTATATTTTATTGTTGGAACATTATTAATTATGAAGTTGTGTCTTATTTTAATTCAAATAATATTTACATGGTTTTCCTCATTTAATAAAGTAATGAATAAAGTTTTACGAAACATTTTACTAATTATTAATGAGAAAAGTTTTATTTTTATTTTGTCTCCCAAAATTATTTATATGTATTTATTTAGGGTAGAATGGTATCACATATAAAAATTAAAAGACCACTTGACTTTTAACAAATAAAAGAATCAAATTGAATAAATTAAATAAAATGAGGAAAAAATATAACTTAACTTAAAAATAGAATGAAAGAGAAATTGAATAAATATTTGAGTGTGTTACCATCTAAGAGATAAAAGCATTATACTTTTCTCTTTTATTGTGTTAAAATATATAATTTAATTTATTTAACTTAACGTCGTTAATGTAAATGACACTTCCTTTCATATGATGGATGCATGTATTACATTATCCTCCCTTTATATATTAAAATATAAAAATAAATTATACTTTATCCATTAAATATATGAATTTTATATATTATCACTTTTTATTATATTAAAATATATAATTTAAAGCATTTAACTTAATATCGCTAACAAATATTCATTTTAAAATTGTAAGAAATACGTTTTTGATTAAAATATATATTAAAATATTTTCAAATCATTATCATTCATTCATTTGATAAAATGTTGTAAAATATGATTAAATAAATAAATTATAAAATAAATTATATACGTATACTTATATATGAAAATATATTCATAAGTATTAAATTTAGTAATAATTATATCTTATTTAATAATAACTTTTTAATTTAAAAAATACATGTTTTATAGATATGTTTTTGCATTATATTTATTAAATATGATAAATGATACTTTATTAGAAATCACCTTTTTGTTTAGATATTTATTATAGTATTTTATTAATAACATAAATTAAATAATACCTTATTACTTATATATTATCTTAAATATATAATTAATATTATATAATAAAAAAATTATTTTATTTAAATATTTATAAAATATTACATTTAACTACATCGATTAAATATTATCTTAATATTTGTTTTATTTTATTATAGTATATATATTATTAAATTTAAAAATATTTTTAAATATATCATGAATTTTAAAAAATCATAATAATTTTTAAAATATAATTAAATATGTAAAATAAGAAATAATTTGTTAAAGTATAGTATTTTTATTTATCAAAAGAGAAAAAAATATATTTTAACAAAAAAAGGGAGAGTAATGTCATATTTATATCTCTAAGGAGATTTTGGTGTAAAGAATATGTTAGTAATAACTTTTTGTTACGAAAGTTAACAAATCTTAATAGAAAAATTTAAAAATGGATAAAGCAAAAGTACATTAAAATTTGTTAAAGAGAGAAACCATAATTTTTAACATAAAAATAAATGACAGTGTAATATTCATATCTGTAATTTACTCTAAATGTTTTATTCACTTTATATCTGTAATATGTTAAAGGAATCCTTATATTTTGAGTGAGAGGGGTAGTGTAAATTGTAATATTTTGTAATGGAGTCTAGTGCTACTTCTCTAATACTTGCTACAGGTATGGAGATTTGTATGAAATTTCTCCAAATTTTGCTACTCCTCGAAGCTAGCATACTCTAGTGCACCCTTTGGCACTTTACAAACATGGCCTTCGAAATCCTTGGTGGCGCATGTAGTTGGGTGGCAGGATTAGTTCTTCTATTGATTCAATAATTGGAAATGACACTAATTGCTAGCTAGATTTTAAGTTTTATTTTGTTTATTATCCTTAGAGTGTGTTTGGATGGGTAATTTAAATAGAGTAATTCATTTGTTTGAAAATTTTCAAATTTTTTGAGGTGAAATACTTTGTTTGGATAGAGAATTTACAAAGAATTTGAAATCCAAGCATTTGTGAAATTCCTTAAAATTAAAATAGTAAAATTTCAAATTCTCCCAAAAAAATTAAGAATTTGAAATTCTTCATATTTTTTTTCCTTATTTCACTTATATCTATCTTATCTCTTCATATTTTTAATTATTGAATATTCAAAAATACTTTAAAAATTATTAAATATTATCTAATATTAATTTTTTAAATTATTAAAATTTAAAAATTGGCTAATATTTATTTTTATAAAATTTTATTTAAAAATCTCAACATATAAATATATTTTCAAAATTAATTTTACCATGGTAGAATCAAATTATCATATCCAAATTAACAATTTAAAATTCTAAAAAAATTAAATTGAATTATCCAAACAAAATATTTTAAGAATGATAGAAATTGAAATGAATGTAATTTAAATACCAAAAATTTTAAATTCCTTGAATTTGTAAAATTCCTCATCCAAACACACCATTAATTTTTTTATGAAATCTTACCTCCAAAAGGACCTATTACAAGGATCATGTCAATGACAATGCAAAATGAGTGGGTTGGAAATGAAGGGATAAGCTCATGTTGAACTTTAAGTTAATTAATAACTAGTCCATCTCTTATTTCTTGTAAACCTTTCTTTTATTTTGACATTTATTTTGGATCATTAGTGTAGGGTTAATTTTGTATTTTTCTTTAGGGTTGCATTTTGTATTTAAGTGAGGTGTATTTTGTAAATGGTAGATACAACTAGTGGACTTGTGTCACCAAATATGTTTTTCAAACTTTAGAATATGTTTATGAAAGACATGAAACGTTCAAACAAGCATTGGATATGTGAGCATCTATAAGATGCATACGCTAGTCATAATGCATTAGATGTTGGATACAAACACTAATTATCCTATTTACTAAGTATTACACTTGTTTCATTTTACACATTTGTAGAAAAGGTTGTTTATACATACATGAAAAAAAGTTCTTCATTCTTTCTACATCCTTGGATGCATGTTTCCTGAAATGACTTAGACACATATTAGTCTCCCAAAGTCATTGCTTTGTTATCATCAAAATTAAAATGATGAACGTATGGAAATATCTTTGGTTAGAGGAGCATTTATGAGTTAAAATTATTTGTCACCTATTTGTTGTGGCTCAAGAATTGTAACATAATTTTTTTGAAGACAATTTAATTCTTTTTCTTAATTTTGTATTCTGTTCTAGTGTCATTTTTAGGTTTCTAATTGTGTGCTAACTTTTAAAATTACCTATAATTTTAGTTTGTCTTTCTTGTTATTCTTTGAAGTATTATCACATTAAATCATATTTAAGTTTACCTTTTTTAATTGTGCCTTATTGCTTGTCTTGAAATTACTTTGGTGGTTGTAGTACCTCTTTGTAGTGTAGGTTTGCTCAAGTCCTTGGCCACAAGGTAGCCTTTTGAACTTATGATGGAAAGACTTGGAGGAATTTGTTCTTTAGGGAGCCTCACCTTCTGAAGGAACCTTGAGTGTAAACACTTGAATGGGGCAAATTGAACCACTCATTATGATTCTTGAATTTTATTTTTTTTAAATTCTATCATCATTTAGTTATAACATAATAATATAAACTTAAGAAAGTGACATCAAACCTAATTTAATCCTTTAAAACCAACTTATAAAGTAAAATTTACTCTCCACTTATATTTTAATTTATTATTATCATTACTTCATATGACATCTTCAACACATCTCCTTATGTTGAAGACCGAAACATTTATAAGTAATTTAATAACTTGATAGAAAGTAACTCAATAGACCCAACAACACTCACTAGAAGCATGTCACATAAATAAATACCATAAGAATTATTTTTAAAAATTCTAAAATTTATACGAACCAAAATCAACAGCAAAAATTGCATGGAATAAAACCAAATTTTGTCATATTTGCATAGATTAAGAAAGATTAAACCATCAAAACCAAATTTCTTCATATTTGCAGAGATCAACAAACATATTAAACCAACTAGGTTTATATATGTTTTTCCATTTCATATCCATTAATATGGAAACTGATATCAAAATTCTCATTGCAGAGTTTAAATCAAACAAAAACATCTACTAAACAGAAGCCACACAAAGACATCTAGATTCCTAACTAGGATACGAACACTAAGATGGTGTTATTATGGATGCCAACAATACCAAGAATTGCAGTACCCAACTATATATTACCAGGTGTTTTACATACACAATGAAGTCAAACCCCAGACAAGAGTCAGCACCGAACAACTTTAGTCTTAGCCTTTGGTTCTCATAATTGTGATGCTACCTTTTCCCCCTTCAATGTGAACTTTTGTTTTTCCAACTACGGGCTTCCCAGAAAAGGCTGATTTTGGGTAAGATGATGGATCTTCCACACTTTGTTTGGACTTCATAGGAGATGGAGACAGAATGCGCTGATTTATTTCCTTCAGAGTGACATCTCCATGGGCATCACTAGGTTTAATGAAGGCAAATGGATAGGCCACAGAAGAAATTAGCTTTGAGGGTGTTTCTATAAATGATTTCCCACCTATACATGAAAAAGAGAGTTAGAATTTGTTGTCATGGAGTCTAGCTCAGTTGGATGAACAGGGTACGTGGGTTGTTATAAACCTCTTTAGTATTAAGTTTGATTACCATGAATTAAAAAAATCATAAAATTTCATCCCATTAACTAATATGTACTACATTTCCTAGCAATGTGTCTTTTGTATTTGACAAAAATTAAAAATCCAAGTTTTAGGAATGAAAACACAAATCTAGTAAAACCATGCTAACTTCTATCCTGTGAGTGCATCACTATGCAGCTTATATCATACAAGAGAATCCAGTATTACATCCTAGCAACTGGAGGATATTCTTATATGAGAAATATAGCAAATATCCAGTGCAATTAAAACAAGCAAGAAAGACTATATCAAGGAAAACAAAACAAACCTCTGACAACAATATTTTTGGGGGTACGAGTTATGCGATGCTGAATCACATTTTGTTCACATGCTGGTGGGAAGTTGCATAGCTCTACAGTAGTATATAATTTTTTTTTCAAGAGTCAATGAGTACAGGAAAGAAAAAAGAAGGAAGAAATAGAAAGATAATAGTGAATGGCAGACAATGTCATATACCTGCAACATCAATATGAACATCATCTGCCCCAGAAAAATTCCTGAGTCACATAACATAATCATAAGATTATTTTGTATATATATACATATATGCCATAAATTAGTGGTGGTCTTTAGAAGCATACAAATCCTCAGGACATAATTGCATTTCGGTATCCTTAAAGCAATCTGCTAGCCACCCTTCAGCTGACTCAAGTTCCTCGTAACTGGAAGCAGATGCACTCCCTAATGCATATTCCATTATGATCGGTTAAAGGTATCAATCAAAGCCATCTAAAAAAGAAAAAAAAATGTTCAAAGCAGAATCTTGCAAAAGGTAAACCTGATGCCCCCGGTATCCATTGTGGTAGTTCTGAGAAAACATCCTCATTTGAGTCCTCCTTCCCCTATATACATAATGCAACAGTCATACAATCTGGCAAAACAACAGCTCTAGCACAATTAACTCAAACAACATTTAATTGAAATCAATAAAGTACTACTGGAACACTTCAAAACAAAAAATTAAAAAGAAAAAAAAAAAACACTATCGTTAAGTGCTAGTGCTTAGTGCTGACTATTTGCATTGCAAATCATGAAGTCTTGAAGGCATAACAAAAGAAACAAGATTGTTGATCAACCCAAAAGACCATATTATATGTAGGACTAAGACCCCCACAACAATGGAGAGGACCCATGTTAAGTAAATATTATAGGATACAAGATACTCAGATGTGAACAAAAAATCTCATTATCAAACTTTAACAGTCATCACAAATGACTTCAGTTAAAACACAGTTATATTATATTAAGCCATCAAATGGCTACAGTAAACATGCAGGGGAGACACTTGAATAACTTAACAGATGAACCAATACAAGGTGGTAACGCAAACCAATATGGCTGAACTAATCATTTCATGAAGCATAGTTATGAAATAAATATCAGAAAAGAGAATTCTGACAGAAAGAACAAAGAAAAGTTGCACAAATTTTAGTTACCTCATGACATGATGTATTCTAACCATAGACAACAATACGTGGAATATATTTGAGAAAAAAAATATAACATATTTTCTCAAACTAAAGCAGATTCTCACTTTGATTTTTTTATGTAGCTAGACCTATTACACTACCATGGGTGTGAAAAATCACTAAGGTAAACGCTACAAGCACTGACCTTTACTTTCAAATATGCTGAACACAAATTTTCATTGGAAGGGGAATGCTCCCCATCTTGAGTATTGAATTGTAGCATCCGCCGTCTCTTAATTTGGTAAGAAGTCTTCAAACATTTGTCTGGCTCCTTTTCCATATTATTTGACTCTGAAATCCACCTTATTTGAATTAAAAAGGATAACATTGCATATATATTAAATAAAAAAGGTTAGAAGGAATAATGATGATAATAATAAAAGTTAAAGGGAATCCAATTCATGAGGCTCCCACCCAGTGGAAGCTGGGGAGGGTAGATGTAATCATCTGTATACCTACAAGCAGAGAGAATGTTTCGATGATTTGAAATTGTGACCTCCAGATCACAAGGCAATAACTTTGAAATTGTTCAAGGAAGCAAGGGAGGGTAGATATAAACATCTATATCCCTACAAGCAAAGAGATTGTTTCAAGCATTTGAAATTGTGACCTCCAGATCACAAGGCAATCACTTTATCATTGTGTCAAGCTCACCCTGAATAACAGAAATAAAGAACTATATATTCGAGTTTCAAGCTGCACATATTGATTGTTAGACAATGTAAAACTTCCTTGCCAGTACAAACATCTTACCACTATTATTATCATTGTATGCAAAATCCCCACAAGCCTTCACTGGGGTTGTTTCATCATTGAACACATAGGAAAGATCTTCATTTTGAGGAGCTTCATTCCACAGTCCTTGAGAAATTTCTGCTCATACAAGAAAAATTTCTCAGGCACCAATTTTTTAGACTAACTTAACTTAAAACTACAAGTCAGACTTACCGTAATTGAAACTCTTTTGCAGATAATAGTCCTCCCTATGCCAATCCCATGGCTCCCTAGCACCATTTAACATGGAGCAAACAGTAAATGCTTGTTACGCAACATTGTACAAGGTGCAAGAAAACATAAAAGGAGCCAATCCTAAAACCAATTTGAAAGAATCACAATGGATAGATCGTAGACGTCGTGATTTTAACAGTATACAAATCAACCAAAAGTACATAGAAGATTAACCAAACCAACCACGCAAATAAATTGCAGTACTAATTACAAACCAAACAACCACACAAATAAATAGGAACAGAACCACCAATTACTGCAGAAGAAACTAGAAAGCAAAAAAATAAACGAAAGAAAAGGGCCAAAAAAAGCGAGAAAGACAACTATGACCCATCATCATCATCACTACCCTTCCTCTATCCACAAAATCTAACATGAATCGAGCATCTCAAGAGCAAATAAAAACCAAGAACAGAGAAGTACTAAACCGACCAGAGTTAACACAAAAAAGCAAAAAAAAAAAAAAAAAAAAAAGGGTAAAATTAAGGTCAACAACCCCATACACGAATGAACCAATTAACTAAAAATCACACTTACAACAAGCAAGGTCCAAAAAAACTAATGGGTACCCATTTCATCTCCCAAATAAAAACACAGAACAAAAATTGAAGAGCATCAAAGTCAGAAAGTACATGTTTAAAACCAAATGCAGTTCCCAAAGAGAGTGTCTTTCCCAAGAGACAGACCCATAAAAAGAAGGGAAAAAAAAAACTGATATAAACAAAAGGGCACAGATATACTTGTCATTGGTGTAATCCATTTCAGTAGTTGCAACCAAACAGGAACCACTATTCACTGATCAAAGCCCTTTCTTTTCTCCCCTTAACAAAAATAACCGTTAGAAAGAGTTCCAAGATGCTGCATGAGATGCAAGTATGTGATGCTTCATATAAGAAAGGAACCAAAGAGAAACCAAACCACACACACACTCTCTCTCTCTATATGTGTGTATATATATGTTCCCTGTTTAGTGCTCTTTTGTCTTCCTGTCTTGTTTTCCATTTTCTTGGTTTTATTATTATATTATCTGTGTAGTGTGTATGGTTTTTAATTTTTTATGATTTATTTATTTATTTGTTTGCTTAAAATTAAAGAATATCTACCCACATAACATAATCCAAGAGGCGAAGGTGGGGAGGGACAACAAGGGTCCACGCGAACACGACCTCACGAGATACGGCAAGCGTGCCTTTACTAACTGGGACCCTCTCCAGTCATTACTCATTTACTCTAATTAATTAATTTATATCATTTGGATTTTTTTTTTATATATATAGTTCAATATATTTTATTTACAAGAATTATAATGACGTAAAATGGTATTTGTTTCCACGCATCATATTATTGTATTTCTGGAAATCGTATTCTCAAAAATATTTCTTTTTTCTAATTGAAAGTCCGGAAATATTTTATGTGGAATGTTATTATTAAGTAAGTTTAGAAAATTTGATTATATTTTAGGTTTAAATGCATTTTTATCTATCAAGTATGTATTATATGATTTTAATCTCTAAATTTTAATTAAATAATTTTAATTTTTCAAGTAATGTAATTGTATAATTTTGATCTTTTACATTAAAAATCTAATATGTTTTTTATACAACACTAACACTGACATAATATATTGTATTCAAATACATTTATTTTTATTAATATATTTATATTTTTATAAAAAATATATTAATATATATATTAATTTATATTTATAAAATTATTAATTTTCTATAAATATACTATTGATATTAATTTATCAATAATATTATCTATAATTATGTATATAAAGGCAATTTTTTATTTTTTTATACACATTATTTTAGATAATTTTAATTCTATATAAAACTGTTCAATCATGACTAATAAAAGTTTAAAAAAAAAAAGTCTTTTATATATTAGTTTTTTCTGAAATCTTTTAATAACCATTCTCTACTTCCACTAACTCTATGTATTATTGATATAAAAGGCATGATTATCCAATAATAATAATAATAATAATAATAATTATTATTATTATTATTATTATTATTATTATTATTATTAATTTTATTTAATTAATAATAATAAATATATTATATATATATATATATTTATTGTGTAGAAAAATTCACTTACTTTGAGTGTATGTTTATCTACATTTATTTCAAGAGTTTTTATCTACTCTTATTCCATTCAATAATTCATATTCTATATTAAATTTTAATAATTTAACCATTAAATTAAAAATTCTTAATATATAGATCAAATTTATAAATCTTTTTTAAAAATTAAAAACTATTTGAATTTTGTTTCATTAATTCAAATTGACAGATAATTATAAAAATAATTTATATTTTGATTTGAATTAATGAAATAAAGTACTAAATAGTTTTCAATTTAAAAAAAAATTGTAAATTTTATCTATGTATTGAAAACTTTTAATTCAATGATTAGATTGTTGAAATTTAATGTAGAACATGAGTTATTTAATTAAATAAGTATAAGTAGATTTACTCTTAAAATAAGTGGATTTCTTCTCTCTATATATTAATCTTAAAGTTATTAGATTTCAAATGATAGAGACTAAAATTTTATAATTGTAATACTTGAAAGACTAAAATTTCTCAATTACAATTTGAGGACTAAAATTGCATAACTAATATACGTAAGAGACTAAAATTTCTCAATTAAAACTCTAAGGACTCAAAATTGCTCGATTACAATACTTGAGAAATCAAAATCGTAATGAAGCCAATATTTTAATATTCCTTGAAATTTTTCAAAATTTAAAATATTTTAAATAAAAATAATAATTAAAAAAAGGAAGTTTTATTTTTTAAGTACAATGGGGAGCCAAACATCTGAATTAATAGCCTCTAGGAAAAAGAGACCCCTGAAACATTAGTAAGTAAATGTATTTGTAACCATGAAGGAGGGAACTAAAAGAGACTTATTTTTTTACTATCTGTAACAATTTTTAAGTCATGATAGATAGTTCAAAGGTGAACTTGAACCACCAAATATAACCCAAATTACAAGAGAAAACAACAAAATTCCAAACTTACCACTTATTACACCTCCACAAGAAACAATCCCTTCATTTACAACACCATCTTTTTAACTTGTAGGAATCCATTGGTGGGAAATCCCAACAAATGGGGTCAATCCTCCTATGGCCCACATTGTTATGAGTGCCTAACCTTACAGCACCACCAATCCTATTGTTGGAGATTTCAAAAGCCCAAACTTGTACTTCATTCCCCACACAGCTTCATTAGAAGAGAAAGTTACAAGTGTGTAAGGATAGAACTTCTAATATTCTTATGAGAATATCACATTATCACATCCTTAACATGGAAATAAAAAAAAATAAGAAATATGGTAGAAAGATATTTGAAATGAATAATACTCGAGAATAATTTTTTAAAATTCGTAACAGACATAAAAATCATACATTCTCGTTCACATTCTCAGAACTTAATTTTTAATCCCTGAAGCAAACACTGACGAAGAACTATTTAAAAATATTTAATTGAATCTGAAATTAAAAAATATAATTAGTTCTTTAATTTTGTACAAATGAATATTATTGGGATTTGTATAATTTTAAAATATCGCTAAGGTGTTTTTTTTTCCTGTTTAAAGTCACCATAAATTAGTTTCAGTAATTCATAAATTTATAATTTATAAAATATATAAAATTAAGCATTCAACTATAGTTTTTATTAGTTTTTTAATCTATGAGAAACAAAGTAGTTTAAATACCTGATTAAAAAATTTCACAATAATATAGAGCGATAAAAATTAAGATATTTGTAAATTAAATTTTGTTCTAGAAATATTAGAAAGTAATTAAAAAATTTCAAAATATGTATAAACTATAAATTCTTTCCTTTTGTAAATGTTTCACTTAAGGATGTCAATGCGACGGGATAATATGGGTAGTAGTTCCTTGTTATCCTTCTCACCGGATAAATATATGGATTATTAGCTTTATACTCGTCCTTATATCAGTGCGAATATTTATTGAACGGCTACTTGCATATTTCTTTTAATATTTACGGATATCCACGAGTATCTACTAAAAAAAATCTTTAAAATATTTAATAAAATATTTTAACTATTCAATTTAGTCATTTGTAACTATTTTTTCTTTTAAAAGTTATAAAAATCTGCATATATAACTAAAACTTAAATAAAATTTGCATAAAAAAGTTTGAAGGCTATAAAATTAAAATTGAAATATTCTTCACAGTTATATTAATAATAATAAGTGGATTTAAAAACTAAATTTCAAACATTCAATCTAAGTTTAAAATTCAAACAATAATTGTTAAAATAAAATATTTTGATTACACATAAATCAAAATAAAAGATAATAAAGTATAATATTTAACTATTATAAGTCTAAACAAAGTCCAAATAAAATTAAATTTATACAAGTTTAAATAAAATAAATTTCGTACAAGTCTAAATAAATTGAATATTAATGGGTACGGGTGTGGATACTATGATACCCGTATCTTCTTCGTTAATATGCAGGTATAAAAAGATATTTGTACTTATTACCTACGAATATCTTTTTATAATATCTATTTTTTATCCATTGTGGATTTTATCCACAAATATTTACAAGTACGGATTTTTTTTTTACATTCTTAGTTTCACTTGCTCACATTCGTTCTCAATCAAACATCTTTTCTTATAAAAAGGTGAACTTCATTTTTCTAATGAGCAAACGAACAATTTATTACCTAACAAGTAACATAATATAAAAATTTCATGTATGTTTTATCTTTAAAATTGAAATACTTTCTCATCACTTTTACATTTGCTTTAATATTTTAATTTTTCTTTTTAAATATATAATTTTCATGTTTTGACTATATCATTTTCATATTTTTAATTATTTTTTGAAAAATTATTAATAATTAAAAATGATTTTATACCATAATGAAATTTATTTATTATAATACTAAAATATAATTTATATATTTAAAATTATTTATTTGTAACAAATTTTAATTATAATATATAATAAAAAAATTATTTATTATAAATATAGTTGTATAAAATAGACAATTATAAGACGCATTACATTGATTAAAATATTAGATACTTTTGATTTAAAAATTTAGTAAGATTTGATGAGAATTTAATTTAAATTTAATTAAAATATAAATATATCATTTTAATTATGTTAAGTAAAATAATTAATAAAATAAATTTTAAGAAAATTAAATATTATATTTGATTTATACATTAAGTAAAAGTCTTATTTGTTTTTATATAATTAAGAAATATTACCATAGTTACAATAAGCATCAAAACTAAATCATTGTATCTATCCATATTCTCCACCTCTAAAAGAAAGTTTTGCCGCATAAGCAAATGCATGTGGTATAGTGCCAACACTAAATTCATTATTTGTGGTCAATTTCTTTTAAAATTCATTGTCTAACACTTTCTATCGATTAGAAAATTAATTCAAATGTTTAATTTCATATCTAAGATATTATTCAAGTATAGAAAGATGTTATTTGTTTTCAGATATTATTTAAAATTTAAATATTATATTAATTTATTTTAGGGATTTGTTTCCTCTTTTAAGGTTAGGATGTTATATGAGACTCTTAAAATGAAAAGAATCATTCAACTTGTAGAAGGAGACATTGTCTTAAATGAGAGAACGTCATATAGAGGAGGGTTTATCAAGTTTTCCCATAAAATTTGTGACGAAAGGATTTTCAAATCTTATTCATAAAACTTATGAGATGTGGTTTTCTAAGTTTCACCCATAGAACTTATGAGAAAGGATATTTCAAGTTTCAACCATAAAACTTGTGAGGGGGGTTTTCAAGTTTAACCCACGAAACATGAAGAGATGATTTTCATGATATATATGTAATACATTATGAGATAATGAATATCTTTATGGATGTAGGCATTAAGGATCGAACAACGATAAATAAATTATGTGATCATTTTCTATCTATTTATAATGTTA